TGTGTGTGTGTGTGTGTGTGTGTGTGTGTGTGTGTGTGTGTGCGTATGTTTGCAATCCCATACTTGTTCTGGGCCGCATCCATAACCATGATATGCCCTCCCCTGCACCCTGGGCGGTGGTCTGTGGGTGCGTTGTCTGTGCCGACGGGGACTATGTGCGTCCACTGTGGAGTGTAGCCCATCTGAGCGCAAAAGAACAGATGAGCCAAAAGCTCAGTCAGCCACGACTGACGGAGACCACTCAGCAGTAGGGCATGCATGGTACTACTGCAGCCGACTAGTGACGGTGAACAACAAACCCAACAAACCCAATCAACCCAGCCAGGGTCGCCCTCTGTAGGGTTATTAGATAAAAAGGAAACCCAATCGAGGCCACATCACAGGACAGTCTGTCAGTAACAGACACCGCACAAGGCCATTCACCTGGTCACCAAATGCCTATCTAAACCACACATCACTACGCTGATATAAGCCAAGCACATGACCTCACCTTCTATATATACTGTTCGAATCGACTCACCTTCTTTTTATACTGTTTGCATACACTCGCCTTCTTCATATACTATTCGAATCGACTCACCTTCTTTATATATTGTTTGCATACACTCACCTTTATATACTGTTTGCATACACTCACCTTCATATACTGTTTGCATACACTCACCTTCATATACTGTTTGCATACACTCACCTTCATATACTGTTTGCATACACTCACCTTCATATACTGTTTGCATACACTCACCTTCATATACTGTTTGCATACACTCACCTTCTTTATAAACTGTCTGCATACACTCACCTTATTTATATACTGTTTGCATACACTCACCTACTTTATACTGTTTGCATAAACTCGCCTTTTTCATATACTGTTTGCATAAACTCACCTTCTTCATTTACTGTTTGCATACACTCACCTTCTTTATATACTGTTTGCATACACTCACCTTCTCCATATCCTGTTTGAATACACTCACCTTCTTCATATACTGTTTGCATACACTCACCTTCTGTATATACTGTTCGAATATATTCTCCGCGGCCATCTGTCGCAGTAGAGCCTCGCTCGCCTGATAGTTCTCTTCCACCACCAACAGCTGATGCAACTGCGACAGCGCAGGATGCTCTAGCTCAACATTGGTCATGGCCTGCAACGCATTGAAAGCTGCATGCAAACACATGCATGCACAGGTGAGTGTGTGTGTGTGTGTGTACAATTATCAATGTATGTGTCATTACTTGCTACACACATGTATGATGACTTTGTGTTTATGTATATTAGTATCTGCGTAGGTTTATAAATAGATAAGCATACATGTATCACATCCATAAATATAAATACATTCTTACCTGTTTACATTTATAAACGGACAGGTATATACACACCCCTCCCATAAGTCCACATGTATTTCTATCTGCATACATACACAAACGGATCGGTATCCATACATCGCAAACACAAGTACACGCCACACTATCCACACACACAAAGGCTCACCACACATACCCTGTGTGTGGTTGCGTTGTCGCAGATGTTTGAGACAGAGCTTCATGGCTTCCCGTTCGAGGTGCTCGTCTGTCTGTCGTCGAGCGGTGGCTACACTGGTAGGCTCCGCCACTCCTTTGATCTGCATGTACCTGTGAAAACAAGGAGAGAATAAGGACACAATAATATAAGGAAACTACATGACACAGTCCACGGTAGGAAACAACAAGACAATCACATACAGTCCACGGTAGGAAACAACAAGACAATCGCATACAGTCAACAACAAGGCAATCACATACAGTCAACAACAAGACAATCACATACACTCCACGGTAGAAAACAACAAGACAGTCACATACAGTCAACAACAAGACAATCACATACAGTCAACAACAAGACAATCACATACAGTCCACGGTAGGAAATAACAAGACAACCACATACAGTCAACAACAAGACACTCACATACAGTCCACGGTAGGAAACAACAAGACAATCACATTCAGTCCACGGTAGGAAACAACATGACAATCGCATACAGTGCCCCGAAGCGGTTCGCCATCAGGTACAACACGAGCGCTCGGGTCACGCTGGCTCTGCAAACACACTACACTCACAAGCAACCACACGCCCACCACAACTAACGCCATACGCAGCACGGTGGGAGGCATGACACGAACCAAGCACCAGCAACGACCCATTCAGAGAGCACCCTGTGGCTAGGACACGCGTGTAGCACACATGTATGCCAATCAAGGGGTGACACGCGCGTGTGTGTGTGTGTGGACTCATTGTACAATGTCACGGGGCCGTGTGCCATGCACGCCTGCGTGTTCTGCTGAGACTGCAGGTGGTGTTTAGGGAGCTCCAGCAGCGTATGTATATGTAACAGATAGCCACCACAACGCATACCACACACAGGCAATGCCGATAATATATACACCAGTACACATTCTCGTGTGTGTGTGTGTGCGTGTCTACACATGCTTGAGTATTGAATGGATAGTACACTAGTTTGGTTGGGCAAAGACAAACACCACAACGCGTCTCCTAAACAGGACGGGCGATCTGCTATGATCCGATATATCAGGGGCGCTCCCGAGCCTGTGTATATAATCTGTATCTACGCGCGTTTACTAAACAATACACTGTCCAGATATGTAAACAGACATACCGTTAAAAAGGGCACACACACATATATATATATATATATATATGTGTGTGTGTGTGTGTGTGTGTGTGTGTGTGTGTGCACATACATACATACACACACACATACATACATACACACACACATACACACATACATACACACACACATACATACATACACACAAATACATACAGACATACACACTCACTCACTCACTCACACACACACGCATACATACACACACACATACATATACACACACATCGCGCCAGGCTTTTATCAATCTCGTGCGTTCGTATATAGCGCAGTTGACACAGAACAGACGTGCCAGATTGAGTAGTTGAAGCTCTCGCCGAAGGACTGCAACGGCACTATCTTGATGTAACGGCATACGAAATCCAGACCATCCACCTGGTATAAGCAGAGATGCGAATGTGTGTGAGTGTGCGTACATAATACAGTTGAGCTCTCACGCCATACACATGGCTAGCGCCTTGTCTTGGCACAACAGAACCCGAACACCGGGTGCGGTGGGATAGTCGGAGGTGTGTGGGAGTGGCACAGACGGCGACACCACTTGAGCACACAGACGACATGAGGCTAAGGTTGTATCTAGACCGATTCGATACGATATAGCACCCCTATTGAAATCTATGCATATAGGAATGACGCGCGTGTGGTAGGTCAACAACGTATGCTTCTCAATCCGTATGTACATCGCTCTAATTAGTACCATTCAGGGATACCGTTATGAGACGTAGCATTCAGAGCCACCATGCGTAAATCGAACACGGATGCCACCCCAATCAAGAACAAGAAGCACACTACCCACCGTTAACCATATATACTACAACTAACACTTTCATATATATATTATAACCAACACCCACATATATATTATAACAAACACTTTCATATATATTATAACCAACACTTTCATATATATTATAACCAACACTTTTATATATATTATAACCATCACTTTTATATATATATTATAACCAACACTATCATATATATTATAACCAACACCTTCATATATATTATAACCATCACTTCAATATATATTATAACCAACACTTTTATATATATTATGACCAACACTTTCATATATATTATAACCAACACTTTCATATATATATTATAAACAACAGTTTCATATATATGTTTATTATAACCAACACTCTCATATATATTATAACCAACACTTTTATATATATTATCACCAATACTTTAATATATTATAACCAACACTTGCATATATATTATAACCAACACTTTCATATATAGTACATTCATATATATTATTACCAACACTCATATATATTATAACCAACACTTCCATATATATTTTAAGCAATACTTTCATATATATTATAACCAACACTTTAAAATATATAATAACCAACACTTTCATATAAATTATAACCAACACTTTGATATATTAATATCAACACTTTCATATATTGGCTAAACCAACCCTAAACCCCTCAACTTCTAAACCCCTAAAACTCTAAAAAGCTTTGCATCAGTCCCACCTTATGCATCACCGGAAACTGCTCGAGCTCATCGTCGTTGTTGAGGCCACTGTGCAGTATCATGATCATCCCCTCCTCGCTCATGCCCCCGTACACCTTGAACTCCTTCAGATTGCAGATGTGCTTTTTGCTGTACTTTCCGAACGTAATCGTGTGGACAATGGCGTCTTTCTGTGGCGAAACGAGAGAGAGAGAGAGTGTGTGTGTGTGTGTGTGTGTGTGTGTGTGTGTGCGTGTGTGTGTGCGTGTATGTGGGGGGGGGTGCAATCGTGCTGTTGGGAGGCTCGGCATTTCCCCACACCACACACAAGATACTGAGGTCCATCTGACACTATGCCTTTCGGCTGCGCAAGCGTGAACCCAGAATGGGTCGATGGGGGACTATACAGCGAAGGAGCCCTCGGATAGCTCACATGCGATCGGTGGTGTAGCTTTCAGGTTGTGTGCAGTGGAACAGTCCCAAGAGAAAGAAACCAGCACATAGCTGGTATCGTTTAAAACGATCAGTGGGGTGCGCTTGAACACCCGTGCACCAGCGAACTCGAATGAGACATGTGTGAGGACAAGCCCCAATTTTCATTTTCGGGGTCACCTCCACGATGCAGAACGGGTCAAAAGGATAGTGATTCACAACCCTTGGCGTATGGGCAGGATGGCGTGCATGTACACGACCCAGTTCGAGTTGTGCTGTATGAGATAAGTAACCCTAAATCGACTAGTGAAGGGTGCCCTTAGATGATTCTCTGGTATACTGTCTCGATGTGTTTGTTTTGTTCGCCTATGGGCGCGGTATGTTCCCAAACATACAAGCCTACCAACAATGATGATGAGACAATCA